TTTAGACGTGATTTAAGTTCATTTGTTGCTTTTTTGGATTAATTGTTTCATCACTATTCACTTAAAAATTTTAAGGTCGCTGAAGTTTTAAAATGTCTATCTATTTGTCACCCGTGAATTTTGTCTATTGTTAGAATTTGGATGTGATTCGAATTTTTTGTTGAAATAATTTGAGAATTTTAATTGAAGTGTATTTTATGAAGAATTCTAATTTGGAATATTATTGAAGATGTTGAATTTCTATTTTGAAAGTCCACTTAAAGTTGGAATTTGTTTTGTACTCAATTTTATGGTATCATATTTCATCAACAATTATACTAGGTGGGTTTGGATATCCTTTACTTATTTTCCTATGAATAATGAGCTTTTTTATACAATTTTATAGTGTGAGAAAATAAATTAATAAAATTATTAGATCTATTGTAATTTTTCTCTCTTCTCCATTATTCTTGAGTCAATAAAATCTCTTAATTCATCTGTCATATTTTTGTCTTCTTTATTCTTATGTTTGATCAAATACTTCATTATTATTTGTCATATAACTTCAACATCTCAATCCGGTAGTTTGTTCCACAATAATTAGTATCATAGCTATTCTGACATCTTGTTTGTTTTATAACAATTGGTATCAGTCGTTCAGTAGTTCCGCAAGAGCACACTGTTTGATTTGTACAAGATTTTTTATTCGTGATGGCTTCCATGAAGTATGACATTCTGCTTTTGGATCGGAACACTAGATTTTCGTCATGGCAGATTAAGATACGTGCGGTTCTCGCACAACTGGATTTGGATGATACGTTGCTCGAAAATGACAAGGTGCCGCAACTTTAACCGCGGAGGAGAAATTACTTAGGATAAGAAGGCAGTTTCTCATATTCATCTCCATTTATCAAATACTATTCTTCAGGACGTTTTGAAGGAGAATTCAGCAGTTGTTTTATAGTTGAGGTTGGAGCAATTGTGTATGACTAAAAGTCTGACAAGCAAGTTGAACTTCAAGCAGCATTTATACTCTCATCGAATGACAGAAGGATGATCATTGGAAGATCACTTGGCTGTATTTGAGGAGATTGCCGCTGATTTGGAAACTTTGGAAGTAGAATATGATGAAAAAGATTTGGCATTAATTCTATTGTGGGCCTTGCCCGTTTCGTTTTCTTCATTTAGAGACACGATTTTGTATAGTTGTGATACTATCACCATAGAGGAAGTGTATGATACTTTGTATGCAAAAGAGAAGATGAAGCATCTGGTTTCTGAGGCCAGAGATAAAGAAGGCCTGGTTGCTGATGGTAGTTCTGGAAGGGGCAAATCGAAATTTAAGTTCAGTAATCAAATTTGTAATTATTGCAAGAAGAAAGGACACTTAAAGAAGGATTGCTACAAATTGCAGAATAAAGAAAGGATGACTGCAAGTTGAATCGGAACTTAAATAAGTATTTCCTTCAGCCGTATTTAGCTAAATCATATAATCATT